ACACACACACACACACTAAATAAAGAAAAAAAAATCACTTAAGGCCATGAAATGTGAGTGAAGATTCCTTTGAAATGTGAGAAGGGTGATGAAAAGCAGCAATAGCCTTAAACTGCCATGGATAAAAAAGAGAATTGTACCCTATATTGACAGAAGGAAACCTGTGGCTTAACAATTCCATTCTAACTGCAGTAAAGGTTCTTATTTAGCTGCAGTATCTCTCATGCTTGGGAGACTTTAGCTAAATCTGAGCCTAGCTTCCTAATTAAGCTATGCAAAGTAATGGGCTGAGATTTATTACTGGCTCCTAGTTTGGAGTGGTGGTGTTATGTGATAGCTCTTTTGATTTGAAATAAAGTGACATAAGATCCCCATTAACTTTAGACACGTTTTATCTGATCAGAAATAGTAGATTAATGAGGGGAGTATTTAAATCATTTGAATTACTTCCAAAGATGCTAATGGAATGTTGGGGGAGAGCGAGAGAGTGAAGGCATCATGGATCACACCTGTAGTTTTTCCGCAGAGCTAATTAAAGCTCGTGGAGTTATAGTAATCACATAGATATGTATTTCTTGTAGTTTGCATATAATATATATTAATAGCATTTTTTAAAATGTCAATTGTAATTGTAATATTTTAAAGCATAATGAAATGGAATAAATAACTTAATTGAAAGCAATCTGTTCAGTTTCCAACACTGGAACACTGCAACCAATTTTGATCACCATACTTCAAAAAAGATGCTGAGACTTTGGAAAAAGTTCAAAGAAGAGCAACTAAGATGATCAAAGGCCTGGAGACTAAAAATATGAAGAACTGCTGCAGGATCTGGATTTGGCTAGTCTAAGGAAAAGAAGCATTAGGGGTGACGTGATAACAATATTCCAGTATTTGAGGGGCTGCCACAAAGAAAAAGGAGTCAAATTATTCTACAAAGTACCAGCGGGCAGGACAAGAAACAATGGTTGGAAATTAATCAAAGAGAGAAGCCACCTAGAATTAAGGAAAAGCTTCCTAAAAGTGAGAACAATTAACCAATGGAACAGCCTGCCTTCAGCTTGTGGGTGCTCCATCCATCACTGGAGGTTTTTAAGAAGAGACTAGACAGTCACTTATCTGAAATAGTATAGGTTCTCCTGCTTGAGCAGGGGGCTGGACTAGAAGACCTCTAAGGTCCCTTCCAACTCTATTCTACTCTAAGACATCTTTCTCAGTTCTCCTCAGGGATTACTTTTATCATGATAAAACTAATTAATTGACTAAAAACAAGAACCATGGGTTTTTATAAGCACTTGTTCTAGTTTCTACACAGAGGCCAGCACTATGAGTATCAATTAATTAATGCCTCCACCATTACTCTATTACTCCATTCTGGCCTTGCTGCAGCTCCTGGTTGTTGTGAAATAGCGAGAAGGCACAACGAGAAGAAATATTATTCCTTATCTCGGGTTCTATTGGTTTGAGCTTCTAAGAAGAGGATAGCCACAATCTGCATAATCTGGAGCTTACCTTTATATATATAATACAAAACATACAGCTTGTTTCTTTTATTCCTTGGGATATTTGAGAAGCCTGAAATATAGGGACAAATAATTTGGAGGAAATGGTGGAGGGTGAGGTGCTCTAACTGATCTTCATGACAACTACAGGACTTGTGGGATGTGAGGTTGTGGCAGATTCTTACCTTCTTTTAAGAGTAGAGGGAATAATCTTACAGGCTGTGCTATATATCAGAATGTAATGTGCAGTGCTAGTATCATGTATTAAATACTACCCATCCTCTTTATATATATATATATATATATATATATATATATATATATATGTATGTATGTATGTATGTATGTATGTATGTATGTATGTATGTAT